AGGAATTTCTTGGGAAAAACGGGAAGAGGAATTAATTAAAACTGTTTTAAACGCTCTGTTTTATTAATTTGTCTGTTTTTGTTGGCATGTTTTTTGGTGTTTGTTCTTTTCATTGACAAAGAAATGTAGTTAAAGTAACAACTAATTATTTTCCACGAGGCAGAAAGAAAGGGCTGTTGCGTTCATGGGTTTCTAATATAATTTACTTGGGCGGCTGTCCTGAGGTTAGTTATTAAGATCGAAAGATGCTTTATAAATATAAGATTTTTTTGGACAAAGTTTCGCTTTTTTATAAATGAATGTATAAAACGTAACAACTTTGGAAGGTTAGGCCTATAAGTCACTTTGTCAGCAATATCGTTTTTGGATGCAAATTAAACTATTGTATTACATGCAATCCTTACCAAAGCCATAGTTTGGTCATCTTCGCAAACTGCTGCATCAAGAAAAAATGCAACCAAGATGGCTGGGGTAAGAACATTCATGATGGTGATCACCAAGAGAGCAAGGATGATCTTTTCTTGGAAATGGAATTGAATATTTGTCCATTTTTGCAGTTAATTCGATCCTTCAATACAAATATTCAGGTTGTAATCCTTGGATCGAGTAATACTGAAAGCAAGGCTGTGTCAATAGTGTATTTTGTGTAGTTGGACAAAATCGTTTCTTGTTTCTTTAGAGCATTGAACTCCAGTATCGAATTGTCCTTTTGGCCCAGCTAAACAACCACAGAATTTATATTGAGTATTGAGTCCAGGGCTTGACGATACAGTTTGTAAACTAAAACTATTGCTAAGACAGAAGATATCACGTTTATGTTTGTTCCGTTGTAGTCATTTTTTTGGTAATTTTCTTTCACAAAAGGGAACAAATTCTCATCAACCAAAAGTTAACAGGTTCATAAGGAGCAAATCAAAAGTAAAAGGAATCTGAAATTCTGATAGTACGAAATATTCCGAAAAAACGGAAGATATTTTATCAGAGATTACGCCATGCATAAAAAGCAGCTACCAAAACAGTTCCATTATATCTTTCCTTCATTTTCTGACGTACCAGCAGTTATACAAGCATGTCTCCTTTTATATTTGAGCACAGCTATTTGGAATTTAACCCGATATGTTACGGTGGTCATTCGATTCGCATCTTTGATTTTCATTATGCTGCTCCCCTTCCCTATTTATACAGGCAAATCAGCCATCGTCATCCTTATGTTATTATATATACAGTGCTNGGAATCTGAAATTCTGATAGTACGAAATATTCCGAAAAAACGGAAGATATTTTATCAGAGATTACGCCATGCATAAAAAGCAGCTACCAAAACAGTTCCATTATATCTTTCCTTCATTTTCTGACGTACCAGCAGTTATACAAGCATGTCTCCTTTTATATTTGAGCACAGCTATTTGGAATTTAACCCGATATGTTACGGTGGTCATTCGATTCGCATCTTTGATTTTCATTATGCTGCTCCCCTTCCCTATTTATACAGGCAAATCAGCCATCGTCATCCTTATGTTATTATATATACAGTGCTGTATATTATATTCCTTTTTACATTACATTATTTTACCAAAACAGAGCCGAGTGTGTCCATCTTTCTTAATTTTAGCAATTTAATTTGCGAATATCACTGATCCAAGACAAGCTAAGCGTGCTGCGCAAGCGTGTTGTAAGCTTGCTTTCACCTTTATCACCACATTTAATCTCTTTTTGTTGATGTGTTGTAAAACACAACTGGAAAAAAAACTGTATACACCTATTTCAATTAAGGTTGCTTCAGAGAAGAATGATGCATGATCCACGTTTCATAGCCTGCGATGCATTACTATGACAAGTCTAGTAAGTTTTGTACCCGCAACGAGCCTAGAAGCCCAGAAAGCAAACGCTGCTGACGCTTCTATGCTATGTCAGCAGAACGTTAAGACGATGTATTTTAAAACACTGAATCCTAGGCTTTTTAATTTAGACAGTGATTTGAGGTTCGGTTTTTCTGTGTGGTTATATGCATACAAATGCTGCAAATTTTCAACGAGTTTGCTTGGCTCGTGCACGTGGGAATTTTGGATGGAGTTAAAAGAAATAAAATTCAAGGCATTTGTTCATGAACTACGTACAATGAATAACTTAACATAACGCAAATATCTCCTTTGGAGGCAATTTAATTTTTTAAAACTGAATAGAAAAAAGAACAGCCAGTTGATTTGTTTCATTGAAATAACCAGCATTCTGGCCCATGAAAAAACAACTTAGTCAGACGGTAAAACCCTATTCATTTAATGTTGTTAAAAGACGAGGCTTCTAATTTCTTACTGTGAGATTTTAAAGGGGAGATTCTTCAGCTCGCTCATGCTAAAGACGTTTAGCAGCCATTTGACTTGAAAGCTCTCTTGAACGCCTTTTCACAAATGGTCTCCATTATTTCAATGAACGTGAACAAGAGTTAACTCACCCGCTACAAAAGGGTTTACCATAGCGCACTGCAGGCTACGAAACATGGTTTACGGAACCAACCTTAATTAAAATAGGTGTATATACCCGGGGGAGGGGGGGTTTACTGCCATATGTGGGCTATATAGGTATGTGCCGCTGTGAAGGGTATGGTTATCAAGAAGTTTACTGTAGGATAGGGTATATAAATCAGAGCGTTTGGGTCTAGAATAGGGTATCATTTTTCAGGAAACTGATCAGTTGGTTGAAGATTTTATCTAGACGAGGGATTGTGGTATAAGGTTTTTTTTTGCTAGACCGTGCTATGAACCTCAGTAGTTGCTGGAAAACAGCTACTCTAGGATAGGAGGGACTTCGGAGTTTACCCTAGTATAGGGTAGCAAAATTCATCTGAACTAGCTCTGGTATAGGTTAAGGGTTCCAGGGTCCTAGCGGCACATCCCCTCCCAGAAATTCCTAAAGTAAGCCCCTCCCCGGGTGTATATATAACATTAAGAGAGAATGAACTCATTCTCCTTTGATATTTTATATTCTATTTTTATATTCTATTTTTCTTTTTCTTTTCTATTCTATTCTATTCTATTCTTGTCTAGTCTATTCTTTGATTGGTAAAAATCATTATTGTCCAACCAACCATCTCTAACTTACAAATAACAGTTATGCAGACTAGCTATGTCCGTGGGTATGGTAATGTATGCTAATGAATTGCAACACAGCCATTAGTTAAAAAAGTACTCTGTAAGAACACATTTTTTTTTTTTACCAGATAAGTCAGAAATTTATGTCTAGACTTCATCTTATCCCTTCCACTGTCGCAATGTGAAAATTATCTTACTGTCAGACATGATAAGGCCTTCTCTGTTACCGTCAGGAAAAAGTAAGGTTTAGAGGTTTAAGACAGTGACAACTTTCTATGAGACTTTGTTGACTTTGTGGGTGGAGCTAAAAAAGAACTGTCCTTTTATTATAACGAATTGTCCGTATCAAGCGGGAATCCAAAGACCTGGTTTAAACTGTAAATTGTTTCAGTGACGCACAGGTTACGTTGAAAAGCTGCTTGAGATTGGATTATTCAAGAAAACAAAACAAAACAAAACAAAAAGCACAAAAAAAAAGAAAGAAAAAGATAAAGAGAAGAAATCGAAATTGCATTAAGTCTGGGCTACCCCCTTTCGTATTTCTACAACAAAAGATGTAATACGTTGCTCTAATGGCTATTTTTATCTATTTATATGGTAATAATAATAATAATGATAATAATAATAATAATTATAGATAAGGAACTTGAGAAGTTAGAGAAATACCACCTTTTGAAAGATGAAATTGCACGTCTGGCGCATGCGAAAAGTCATTGTAGTGTCTGTTGTTGTTGGGGTTTCTTAGAGCCGTATCAGTCAACTTTAAAGAGTACATGAAATGAATCGGCGTGATTGTGAGGTTGGAATTTATCCGGATAACAGCGTAGTTGGGGACAGCGAAGATACTTAAGAAAATACTGTTCCTGTAGGAAGAAGGAAAAGAGAGACCTGGGACCCTTAGTGACTTGTTGTAACCCGCTCCCAAAGGACTATAAACCAGGCCGAACACCCTGCCTGAGTCTACAAGGAATGGACATAATAATAATAATGAAAATAAATAAAAAGAAATGCTGCCCTATTATGATGTACTGGAACACAAAATCGGTACAACAGCGTCTTCTGCGCTCATATCATTATCCCTTCCTTTTTCCACCTTATCTCTAATAACCAAGGTATCAACGCAGTAAACTTTTAGTTATTTTCGTGTATGAAAGAGAGATTTATTTAACACATAATTTTTCAGAAGTTTTTCGTTGGTAGTTGGATTAGCTGTGGTATTGAGTGATGACTTCTCGAGCTTCTGTAAACATGACAAGGTGGTTTCAAGATGGAAGTACATGTCGCAAACGAGAAATGTACGCTAATATGAACCTTTGTTAGTTTTGAAAATATCTAACGTTATTAACTACTGCCTCCTGCATAAACATATGGTCATATGTCGCTTTGTTTTCGCATCCCAAAATTTAGCAATAAATTCTCGAAAATTTACTCATGAGGTTACGAACAAATTGAGGATACGTAACTTCGGGTTAATCGTAATATCACAGCAATAAACCCCCTGGCCTTCTGAATAAACACAACAGATTATATTTGGATGTCAGTATCCATGTATAATTTTTTTAAGATACACAAAATAGGGGAACTGAGAGGAATTCGGGTGTTTGTAAGGTTATACAAGCTGCACAATGCAGAAAAAAAATACATAAACAAAGACAACAACAATAACGATTTTGAAATAATCCAAAAAGCGTTTTTTTTTTTTTTTTTCGGGAAACACGTTATGAATCTCAACGCCAATCACTTTTAACAGTTTTAACCCTTATGAGTTACACCCACAAGAGCAAGGTTTGTTAGCTGTTTCCCTCCTGGTCTTCTGAATAAACGAAAAGAGTATGACAATAATATCAGCTGGCACGAGAAGTACACATCAGTGGATATATAAGTGGGTGGATTATACAGCTCTTCATTGTACGTTTGTGTTAATACTGTGAACATTTCGTGCTCTAGGGCGCATCATCATGAAGTGCTCAGTAATTTTCATCCTGCTTGGGTTATTGGCCCTAACTCAAGCCGAAGACGACGAAACGATGGCGTTGGTAAGGTCATGTAAGACTATACAAGATTGTCATTTGAACGAATTTGCTGACCAAATGACCAATGATCGAAGGCTTAAATTGTGATATCCCTTAAGTAATATAAATTGTCTTAAGGAAGCTATTTCAGCACATTGATCAGCCACAAAAATTATGGTCAGTTCTTGTTGTTAGTTCTCTTCTTCTTTTATTTTGATAAGTGACATCACTACACAGTCTACCTGTACTTTAAGTTAATAAATTAACATAATCAGCGGTAAATATGTCAACCAAGTTGACCATTTCTTTTGACCAATTTATTCATTTTGCCCTTTTCGCCTACTCAATTTACTCCAACTCTATATCTTTTCATTATGCAGAAATTTCTCAACCAATACCACTACATCTCGACATCGAGGTCTGGCAATCACAATGTTGAGATAGCAATCAGACGTTTTCAGCGATTCGCTGGTCTCAAAGTAACTGGAAAACTTGATCGTGCCACCATCATGCAGATGAAAAAACCGCGATGTGGATTGCCAGATGACGAAGAAGAGGGTGGTCGCGTGCGACGATACACAACTGGTGATAGTTTTTGGTTAATTATTGCAATTGACGTTATGTGTTTGCATATTGCAACTCGTCTTACCTTAACCAATACTCTATTCTTTAAAGGAAAAGATGAGTGTAAGACAAGGAAAGAACCTAAATACGTATGAGAAACACATGAATTGTCAAGTATTTACCCCTTTTAATTCCAAAAAACGATATCAAAATAAAAGAAAGAAAATTAAAAAGAATAAATGAATAGAAATAATCATCTAACAACAGAGAAATGTACGTCTCTAGTGAATTTTTGCTTTTTACGACAATATACACTTTTTAAAATAACGGACAGCCAAATTTTATTAAATACTAAATACATTTTTTTTTGTTTTCGTCCCTATCATGCAGGCCCCAAGTGGAGCAAAAAAAGCTTGACTTATTTTGTCGAGTATGGTGAAGACCTGAGTCATGACCAACAGGACAGTATTTTTCAAAAGGCTTTGCAGTTTTGGTCTGATGTGTCTGCCTTGTCATTTAGCACGGCTAGCAGTTCCTCTGCTGCCGACATCAAAATAAGGTAGCAATTGCGTTTACAAAACACATTTTTTGGGGGGATGATGGCGTTTCTATGTCTTAAGACCTATAAAGACAACAAATGTAGTCAGTTGTGATGTAGTTCGTTATCGACGGTCCGTTTCATATTGCTAGCTTCATCGGGCGATGAGGTCGACTTTCGGTTATTATTATTATTATTATTATTATTATTATTATTATTATTATTACAAGTGATGCCGGTAAAAGTAAATTATAATTTGTTATGAGAACAAAAAAATATATATACATGTAAATATATATAAAATAAACTTAAAGAATAATATCAGGACGAGAGAGTTAAGCCAGCATGTTTCAGCTGCTTATTTAAAGTGGGATTCTAATTCTTTTACACTATATAAAGCTTCGAGTTTAAACCTTAAAATAATTTGATCAAAGAGGATTACCTTTTTCGTCTTTTTCATTCAAACGCTTTGTCACGTGACTGATGACGTCATGTGGCTCTTTTGGTCATGAAAAAAATTATCAGGTAGAACATTACTTTCCTGCAAATTTTCTCTGCCGTGTGATAAAAGGTTGACTCTCTACAGCCCCTGGCCTAGTCTCCCGACTTTTTCGCTCATGTTCATTACCCCCCTTAAATTTTAAATACCGGACTTCAACTGATTATTTTTCATTTTACTCGTTAATGGAATCTTGTCACAGCAACAACAACAACAACAAAAAAACAGTTTGGAAATAGTTACGTGACTGATGACGTCATTACCTTAGATGCGACATGGGAGGATATTTTATGGCAAAAAATTGTCAAAGTTATAAAGCTTTTTAAAACAAATGCCTCAAAAGATTCCGGGAGATTTTTTTTTTATGATTATTATGATTTAGTTTTATAATAATTAATACTAATACTCAAATATACATTGCGCCCCAATCTTCAAAAACTGAACACTTATCGCTCTTTATAATGATGTTCGAAATATCGAAACGTCAAGTGACGCTCTTAAGTTTAATTTTTCTTGTTAAATGCTTCAAAAAAGCAACTGACTATTGGATCTCGCACTGCTTATTATTGTGATTTACTTATAATACAGTTTTGGTGCTGCCACTCATGGCGGTTCAAGTGAAAGCACCTGCCCATACCCTTTCGATGGTGAACGAGGAGTTCTGGCGCATGCGTACTATCCATCGGATGGTCGCGCTCACTTTGACGAAGACGAAGAGTTTACTGACAACACCCCACTAGGAATTAACTTACTTTGGGTCGCTACTCACGAATTTGGTCACTCACTCGGTATCGGTCATTCTGACGTTAAAGGTGCTATCATGTACCCTTACTACACAGGGTACGTGGAAGGCATGGAGCTTCACTCTGATGACATTGCTGCAATCCAGTATCTTTATGGTAACGTACTGGAATTTGTTTGTTTGTTTTTGTGTTTTTCCCCCCTTGTTCATGTTCATATTTTTTACCACTACCTTCATGCCTTGCGACAGTTGTTCTATTACTAGACCATACATGGTATCCACAGGGTAAAGATGTACCCAACAATGAATCCCTCGATATAACAAACAGTTTTCTTTATCCCAGTGTTAGTATTAAGGAAAAGAATCTCGATATAACAAAACATGGTTATATAGCAAAAACATTTGCCAGTCTCTTGGGCATTCGTTTAGATTAAGAGTAGTCCCCATTTTTTTCAGGGATATAGTAGAGCGAGCGAAACGCAAACGCGCGTTAAGATTACCTTACGCGAGAAAGGCGAGACGCGGCGGGGAGACAGAGAAATGAGGGACTACAGACAAAGTCCAAGCTTTTGACCCTTCACGGCTGACTGATTTTGAAGTGTGAAGTTGGTATCCCCTTCCAAATCAATTAAGCGCATCCAATGGCATTCCTTCTCTCATTGAGCTGTCATTGCACTTGTCATCGGTAAACTGCTGGGGATATTTATTTCAAGTAAAAGAAAACCCAGATACTAAGTTTCTTCGCGGCTGTTTCGCGTGAAGAACTTGATAGTGAAAAAAAGGGGGGTCGGTAGTTAACACACGACTTTTACCTCATGCCAAAATGCTGCTCGTTCCAATGAATTTTTTTTTCTCGGACGGGTAGATTATGCTCTGGAGGAAAACGTTTTGATTGAGAAAGTGTGATTTTTGCCGCTTATTTCATTCTGTGAGGTCGTGACACGCATACTAATTTTCTGCGGTTATAATTAACTCTCTAATGCAAGAGCATTTTCTTTGACCTCTTTTGAAAAGTAAAGCTCTTCAGTGTAGCTAAATGTGTGTTTTAGGTTGTTTAATTTCTCCAAAGTTCCTTCTGGATCTGAATAGTTATAAGTGATTTTCGATTTGTCTGTGAATGTGACGGTTTCCTGCAATGTTTCGTCACGCTGAACCCAGCTCGTTAGCGTTTTTAGGAGGATGTTAAATTCTCACGTAAATTGTGATTATGTCGAGTGTTGATAGCGGCTGGTGTGTTTTTGACAGATGTTGACAGATAGCCATGGAAGAGCCACCAGAGTTTTGCGTTGTGAGAGCAACGTATATTAAAGTTCAAAAGCTTGGGCTTTGTCTGCAGTCCCTTATTTTTCTCACTCCCCGCCGCGTCTCGCCTTTCTCGCGTGGGGTAGTTTTCACTCGCGCTCGCGTCGTCTCGCTCATCTATCCCTGAGGAAAAATGGGACTACTTGTAGTCTAACATTCGTTATATCTAGGTTCCACTTCTGCACGACGGTCATTCGTGTGCTTGTAGAGAACATGTACAATTATATAATGTATATACATCCCTGTTCGTGACCTGTTTTAACAAGAGAATCGTCGGATACATCGTTCGTCTTCCTGTAAATGGGTAAATTGATTTGAAATGACAGTGGGCTTTAAAGGGCACAAGCTTTTAAGTTTCCAACAATCCAACAATTTTTTGGCAAAAACTGCACATTTAATAAATCGACATCAATATTAAGTGTCTCTCCTGGAAAAAAAAATAAAAAATAATCTCCAACAATTGTATTAAATAATCCCTAAGTACCTACACGAGGTATTAAGAATTTTTATTGTATTTAAATGAAAAAAAAGGTCATTTCTTCCAATAATGTTATGAAACAATACGTTTCTACTCACACAACAGAATGATTCTCGAATTATCGGGACACATGTCAACCTTAAGTTAAGCGTCCTATAAAAAGTAACTTCTCTCCATACGCGGTTCTGTAACACCAAGTTAACATCTGCATTTAGTATAGCTTTTAATAAACGACTTTTTTTTCAAGGTGCAAGCTAAGCAGTCGTGGCGGTGGAGGAGGTGAGAATCTGGGATGAAATCTGAAATACTTTTAAGTGAAAATACATGCAAATACAGCTGTTTCGAGAAAGGTTGTCGGAAAAATTTGCACGCGACAATCCCGAAAGGTAATACAGGATATGATCAATACAGTGCTCCTGACGAAGTAGCTGTCAAATCCACTTTTGTTACTTTCCTATAGTTTAGCTCCCGCAAACATACGTTCATGGGCTCTCGTGCTATTATTTTATTTTTCTTTGAATTGAAAAACAGTGTACTCAAAACCACCAACAATACCTTTGGGGATTGGCGCGTGCACTTTTTCCTACAACCTTTCTCGAAATAGCTGTGTGCACAATGTCACATCCTCAACGGTTACTACGAGGAGTGGACCTTTACTTTTCATTACTTCTCGCTAGTGTATAT